TTTTCTAAAATTGTTGCCTGTTTTTTCAGGTGTGGGACACAGCCGACCAGTCCTGCCTCATCACTGTCACAGCGAAGAGCCACAAGATCCGTGGGGACCTGATGTGCTGTCACTACTCCCCGCTGGCCAAGAGTCTGGCCATGGTCACAGACCAGCTGGCTCTACTGCAGCTCAAGATGAAGTAAGTGTGGAACTCTGGGCATAATTATTTATGTATATTTACTTTAAATTTGCAAAAGGGAAACATATTCTCCCTGTTCTGTTTCCTCTACTTCTTTTTTTTTCTCTAAACACATAAGGTCAATGACCTAGATCAGACATCTAACACCATGGTAACTGGTTCTGTAGCAGACACCCTGTGGTGTTGGGTTACATTATGTAGCAAGTGGCAGGACAGATTTTGAGGGGCTGGTCATATGAATCAATGTGTTTGATCAATAATAAGCTGAGATGTACAGTAGTTTGTTAGGCTAGACCATGTGAAGATTAACATTATGCATTTGCTTTGCAAATGTTACCTGTCTAGTTGGTTGTATATTTTGTTGTATGACATCACCCACTCTGAGTTCACCTTAAATATTTTTTTGTGAATTTAAGTGAATATATATATTTCTGTTGTTATGCTTAGTATTGTTTTGTAATGGACTCCAGGAAGAATAGTGATGTATTGCTAATGAACATCTAAATAAAACAAAAACAAACTCTAGTATGTGCCCCTCCCCCACACTTGTATTCATTCACTGCTGATCTAGCCAGAGGATGAAAAAATGCACATTGTCAAATACTTTCACCTTCCTCCACAACAACCCTTAATCCTTACTGACTCAGCTGTATCATACTCAAAGAGGAAACTTACACAAACATGTAATGAGAATGAGAGACTTACATGCACCCAGCATGTCCTTGCTCTTTGTTATAATTAAGGATTAGTGATCACCAATTACAGATCGAAATTGGTAGGTATAACCAGACTCCAGCAAGTAACAGAATTTGCACTTTATGTAACAGTAACTGTGTAGAGGATGAAGAACACTTTGTCTTAGAATGCCCGTTATACACTGATATGCGGAAATCCTTTATCAATTCCTTAGAGTTAGAGAAGAAATATACATACTTGTCAAAAGCAGAACTGTTCAAATATATTATGACATCCAAGCACTACGATGTAAATGAAAAGCTATGTAAATTTGTTCATACATGTTTCAAAAAGAGAGAGGAGATCATGTAGATAGATCCTGTAGTTAGAGACGTAGCACAGAAGTATAACACTTGTTACTTATATACCTGTACCTATAGTTATAGCACAGAAGTATAACACTTGTTACTTATATACCTGTACCTATAGCTATAGCACAGAAGTATAACACTTGTTTCTTCTATACCTGTACCTATAGTTATCCAGCTTAATGCATTTGGCCCATGTAGGGCGTGGATATGCAATAAAGTTCATTGTCATTGTCATTGTCATTGTTATAACTGCAGGCTGTAGTACTGGCATGTACCAGTAGATGTCACTGTTGCACTGGTTTCTAGTCTGCACGAAGACTGGAAATCAGAATTCAAAATGATTATTAGTGAACTGATTTACCAAATGCACTTCAACGGGTGCAGATCAGGTCTGTTTTATGCAAGCAGTAAGTTTATACATAATTTTGTATTTTTGTTTCCAGGTCCTCCCTGAATGCAGACATAGTCCTCTCCCACAAGGAGGCAGTGCAGTGTTGTAAATATAACAGTTCCTTCAAACAAGTCATCTCCTGTTCAGATGCATCGGTAGGTATGACAAAACACACTGTGCAAATAAAAATACTTGGCCAGAAGATAATGATGATAAATGGTCTATTTCGGATATAATTGTGGATTCATGACAATTCTTTTAACACAGTGACTGTAATATAAAAGTTTTTGGCAGAAAATGATAAGATCTAAGACCTTCAAATAACCATGTATCAATACTTACAAGATACATGTACATGTAGTATATGTCATGTATTACAAAAACAATGTACATGTTACTCAGGTCTTCATACGTATTTGCCTTAAATTGATGTCTTCCCTTGTGTCATGGTATCTATTATCATGGTAAAGTTTTTCGTCTTTGAAACTTTCACAAAAAAAGTTAAATATGTTTTCTGTGCCATTTGCAAAGTTGTGGATGGATATTTGTTATTATTTATTATGGACATTTGATGTGTGGGAAGTTGTCAGCAAAACGAAAGACAAGCTTGATTATGGTCGTCCTAGCAGCACTTTATGGAACTGCAGCATAACTTTGTTGTGACATTCCCTTTCTGCCTCTGTCCCACAGGTGGTGAAAGTGTGGGATTTTGAGACAGGCACACAGATCTTTGAGTTCTCCGGAGCCCATGGGGACAAGCCCGTCACGTGTATGACTTTTGACAGCACAGAGAGAAGGTAGCATTATCTGTAATCAATATAAATTTTATGTAATTATTATCCTTTTAACCTGGATATATGGATGATGTTGTATAGGGCTCGAAATCCTTTTTTCTTCTTGCCTGCACTGGTGCAGGTTAACATTGAAATTTACCTGCACCAGACAGATTTTACCTCTAAACATCAGAATAAGAGTATTGTACTTGCAAGTGACATACACATAGCCATATTTTAGCAATTCCAAGCTACCGAAGTATGCAAACTCCTAAGACTAATTGCTATAAGAAATCAGTAAATAAAACACATTTTCTCCAACTGGCTAATATCCATGTTGCCTGAAGTGGTTTTCACCAATTAATGAGGCAGACAAATTTGTCACAATGGCAATAAAACATTCATCCAATTTACCCTATATGTTGAATATCTCCAATCCCGAGGACCCAATCTACATGTTGGAAAAACCTGTTGATACAAAAACTGTGTACGTTCATACGAAAACTGCATATTATGTTGAAATTTTCCTGTGTGTAAATCATCCTGCTTTGTACATTAAAGTAAGCCAATTCCTAACAATTTCTGTATGCAGTTTTTGTACTCAGTCTGTCTTGTTTTAGGCAGAAAATAACATCACACGTCTCTCCTCAGATTAATCACAGGAGGCAGGGACGGGGTGTTGAGAATTTGGAACTTCAACAACGGACACTGTTTGAAGTCACTCATAAAAGGTGAGTACATAGTTTCTTCTCACTTTTTTGTAGCTTCTGGAGTATAGAAACCCTCTTACTTAGTAATGTTTTAGTGTTTGAAATTGATCAAAATACACCATGTGATCTTTCCTTTACGGTTGCACTTCTGCCAAAAACTTTGTTTCTTTGTACTTGTTGAACAATTTTTCTGGCTGTGTTTGTGTAGAGAACTCAGAGGAGGTGACAGACTGCTGCTATGTTGAGCTGCTGAGGAACAGATACGTGGTGTCTGTGGGCTGGGACCACAGGATCAACATCTATGCTGTAAGACCATTCACTCCAGCTAACCCTCTTTTCCACCACACAGCAAATGTTGAGGAAGCAAAATTGAATATTTGTGTGACCCTAGATTTTAGAATTGGAGTTCTAGAGCTAGCTGCTAACCAAAACTTACATAACTTCTTTCAGAGTACAATAGCTACATGTATCTACCAATCAAAATTTGTGACCCTAGCATGCCCAGATCATGAATCATCAAAACAGAAAGTTCTACTGCAGTATCATAACTAGAGTATTCAGCACCAAGGACAGGGATAGTTCCACTATACATTGTGTACATGTAACTGTTACGTATACTGAGTTTTGGGGCCAGAAGTGGTTGTTTGAATGCTGTTGATAGATCTGTAAGATGGATTTAACAGAATATTGATGATGTATACCCAATATGATGCACAATTTTCTTGTCTTCTCGTGAAACGTTTGTTATCTATGAAAATTGTTCTTTAGTTTTTGGTTGCTCGTTCGTCACTTCCACTGATCTTTCCTTACAGGATGCTGCAGAAGATTTCCATCATTACCAGAGTCCTCTACCAAAGTGGACGGATGATGTTGTAAGTTCAATATTTCTTTATCACTTAAATTCCAAATTGTGTTGTGTTGAAAAATAATGTGGCCACAGTTGTATCTTGTCAGCGACAGAATCACCAACAACTGCTACTTGAAAAATTACATCAAACTGCTCATTTCAGTTTGACCTTGGAATGATTTTGTTTTGATGTACATGTTACAGTATCAAATTTGAGAGATACTGAGAGTTGCCCACTTTTGTCTCCGAAATGTATATGCTGGGCCTACTTGTACAAGCTGAAGGGCAACCCAGAAATCTTGTGATGAAATGAATAAAGAAACGTTATTTTCCTACCTCCCCACAAGGCACACGGACACAAAGATGACATCCTGTCTGTGGCGTCATGTCCGCCCAACCTGCTGGCCACCTCAGCGTATGACGGGAAGGTGATCGTGTGGAACATGGTGTCTGGACACATCTACTGTCACCTGGTCTCACCTGAGCTGAGGAACAAGTCCTGTAGCTCATCTGATGATGAGGATGACAACAAACTCAAACAAGGTAGGACATTGTATGTTTACCGTAAGGTTTGTAGAAGGAAAACATGTTTTTGCTCTGTTTCTTCTTCTTTTCCAAACAAAAGAGGACAATGAGACTGGACCAGACAGCTGTCACCATGATGGTAACTGGTGCTGTTGCAGACACCCAGTGGTGTTGGATTACATTATGTAGCAATTAGCTGCAGGACAGAGTTGGAGGGGCTAGTCACCATTGTATATGTAACAAAAAGTACAGCTACTTTCATAATACAAAGTGCTTCAAAATCAAAATACAAAGTAAGATGAAATTCTACGTACTGAACATAACATTACATCACATAACATGTTACTTTTGAGAGTGAGAGTGCACTAAGTTAAAGATATTGTTTCATACCTTGCAGATACCTCTGATCTGAGCATCAAGAAGGTTGTGTTCTTGAAGAGCCGGGCAGGAAAGAAAGATGCTGCACAGCTGATTGCCAGTGGACCAAAGGGTGAGTTAACACCTGGACTAAGTCTACCATACATATACTTACCAGTCAAATCTACAATGTAACCTGAATTCCATTGCCTCTACATGTATATTCAGGCACCACTACCTTCCAACGTACACTGTTGCCTTCTAAAACAAGATTTGTTTTCTTTCACCTCAAGTCACTTATAGCATTTATATAATGAAATTTTCTTGTCTAAGCATATTAAATGTTACTGTCTCAAAGACAAGATTTCAAAGGTTGCTGTATTCTTTCCAGTTGTATTGATTAAACCAAGATTTATACAAATACATGACATTGTGTGTCTCAAATACTGAGAGGAGAATGCCAACATTTTGTTGCAGGACAAATCCATTTCTGGAACATCTTTCAAGGAGGCCACCTGTATGGTCTGGTGAATGGGGTAAGTATGATTAATATCAGAAACAATATCACGGGTTTTAAAAGCAAGGCTAACACAACAGGTTCATGTTCTATCTTCCATTTACACTGTGGAGTCATTTCAACTTTTATGTAACCTTTGTTAATTAGTTATATTAATTAACTGTAGACTTTATAACATGATGCTATTTCTTTCCTCTGTACGTCCAGTCCAAGAAACAGGGGACAGTGACGGCCATGATTCTCAATGCCAGTGACACTGTTCTCTACACGGCAGACTCATTAGGTAGGTATCTGTTGAAACTTATCAAATCTGTAGACATTTGAGCATTACTTGCAACTTTGGTGAATGAAGAACCCGGTTTCAAAGGGCAATTGCTTAGCTTGAATATGTTGTAAAATTTCCAAACATTTGAGTATCATAGCTTCAATATCTTGATCCAACTTTTTCAGATAAAGGAACAGGGCTTCTAGTACTGAATGTATCTGTTACAAATATGCAATCATGTATTATCTGTTGTATAACTGTGTTCCCGTCTGTTTAGGGTTCGTGTATGTCTGGGACGTGGATGGTTTTTGTGAGGATGGCGAGGCACCTATACCTCCTGCATGTAAGTTTTTACAACAGTTACTGAACATGTAAAATACTATCATCTTTTAAGTTCTTCCCACACCTTTCTGTGTAGTGTATAATCCCATCTAAGTTTCTACAGCCTTTGGGCCACACAGGTCACAGGCCACACTGTCTTTTTTTTTTGTTGCCTGCTATTTTCTGAACAAGATACTCAGTAAATCTGTTTTGAAAACAGGTGTATGATTAAGTTGTAAGAGGATTGCCAAGGGAGCACTATTATTAGTAAGTAAAAGAAAGGAAAAATTTAGTGGGATCCATAAATCGCATAGTCAATCATCTCAATGACCATAAAAAGACACTGAAATCATAAAAAATGATAGTGGCTATTTCAAAGGCATTGAAGTGTCACTCCATGTAAAAGCAGGGGCTGGACCTTGCCAAGCCAGGAAATGTCACTGGTTTTAACAAGTGGCCGGGAATCAATATATCTGTCAGTAAGACACAGTTAAGCTCTTTTATCTGTCAAGAATACTCAGTTAAGCTCTTCTATTAGACTTACTTAGGCTACACCAATTTAATTTCTTGGTTATCAGATCTTTTAATAAAAAATATGAAGCGACAGGGCGAAAAAGGCCAAGGTATCCAATGATAGCCTCAAATTATGACAAGAGCCATAAAGTCAACAACAACCAGCTGAGGTTAGTTTGTTCTTCAAACCATGAATTTTTTACTATTGATAGATGGAAAAACTGTACTTACATGTAGGAAAAGAAGGGCTCTCTTTAACTGTTCAAGCCAAAATATCAGCATTTTTTTAGTTAATTCAGAACCTGAATAATTTATATACATTTTTTTTGCATATCAGAAGAAAAATGAAACGGGCCAATCCAAAAACCCTTTATTGATTAAATTACTATGGCCTTAAGTAACAAGAATTGGTCAGTTGTGATACCCAAAATGATACCCAAATTAAGCACCATAAAACTAATTTTGGGTTGGTACACTTCTGTGGGCCAGGCTATTTTTAAAGTGCGATGATTTGGGGTCTTCACACCACAAAACGACAAGGGAAGGATTGATTGAATGCACATGGGATCGATGACCTCATTCTCTGGAGATGGCAATTTATCAGGGCATGATTGAGCTATATATGGTTCTGATGTATATTAATGGCTATGCACAGAAGATTACTAAAAACTAACAGTGTCACTTTTAATGTACAATGTAGTTTACTGTACACTGAGCAGCATCTAATACCAGCTCAGAAAAGAACAAGAAATACTGTGACTGTCATGCCTTCAAGTTTTAAACAAGCTTTACACAAATCTCTTTTTGCATCATGTTGTAGTGCAATATCATGGAAAAGAAGTTCAACTTTTTCTTCTTTTTCTGTCATTTTGTTAAATGGATTCATCTTCTTCATTATTGGGCCAAGTGACGTAAATTTGGTATAGAGGAAGAGTGAGCAAATACCCCTAGACATTTTTTTTCTCATTTTAGAGATACAGGCTTTTAAAATTGTTGTGTTTTGTTACCATTTCAGAGAAACAATGTACATTTTGGGCTCTGAAGCCCTTGTATAGACCCAATTGGCAAATCATCTGAAATAAGATATGGATATGTCTTAGATATATATATCCACCAAAATTCTTTAAGGTAAACACTTTTGGCATACACCCATTTAAACTTGTATAATTTCGACTTTTATAATGACAAATGGCTTCTAACATTGATTGATAAAATGGAGACAGAATAGGGGTATCAGAATCCCCAATTTGAAGGGGAGAGTGTTAAGTGCCCCCCTTGTTACATTAACACAACAATGAATTGATTTCTTTCTCTCCTTATTGTTTCTACAGTGATCAGAGACTGGAGAGCGCACATTCAGAGCATAACCGGGTAAGTACCTATTTTTCTGATCAATAGTCTCTCTTAAAGTTACATTATCTTAATATGTTGACCCTTCCTGTTCACTTTTAAGTTGTGTTTGGGTTAATTTTTACTTTTCTGTTTACTGTCAATGTATGACTTTGTTTTGTTTTGTTAATTATGTTTATCTTCATAGAGGGAAAACGTACTGTTTTTGCTCTGTTTCTTCTTCATCTTCTTCTCGAAACAAATGCAAAAAAGGTCAATGACCTGGTCCAGAGGGCTGTTAACATGGTAACTGGTGCTGTAGCAGACACCCTGTACACATGGTTTTGGATCACATTACGTAGCAAGTTGGAGGGGCTGGTCACCATATAACGAGTTACATGTATATAAATGTGTTAAGACTAAACACAGCCGCTACTGTTATTTTAGGCTAAATAGTGTGAAAGTAACGTTATGCATTTGTTTTGCAAATGTTAACCTTTAAGTTGCATTCTAAGTTGGACTCTGGCCTTATGATGGCCTTTGGGCCAGTATTGACACTTCCTCCAAAACGCTCAAAGCAGAAGGCTAAAGAAATCAATGAAACACATTACTGACTAGACAGGCGCGTAGTTATCCATTTGTCACTGCCAGCCGGATCTAACCGCTGTACTTGGGGCTTGTTAACAACATTACTGCACCTGTAATCCAGGAAATGGCCGAGCCTAACACTAAAGGAGGAACTTGGTGGCCTCTTACGCTAATGTGCTCCGATGGCATCAAAGCCTTGTTCAACAATTTGCTGATGGAGTTCTTCTGCATGCTGATTTCCTCCCTGATCAATACGATGTGATTGGATGAGGTTCTATATTGGCTCCTGATCAATGCACATTTGTGAGCCCCTCGGGGCTGAGCTAAACCCTATTTCAGTGGAATCTTTAATCCAATTTTTTTCTTGTTGCCAAACAACTAAATGACCAGCTGATTTTGTCTATAGTTGATTTGCAAAAATTTCAAATACAAATACAAGACAAATAATTCACATAACAAAATTTTAAATTGAAATAATCAGATAATTTCTGGAAACGTTAAATGTTGTGTATAGAGATACAAGAAGTTTTTGTTGACTAAGGTGTATTTTTTTTCCTGTTCAGTATGGACCTGATAGAGGAACACAACATTGTGATCACCTGTGCTCTGGACTGCACTGTCAGGGTCTGGACACTGGAGGGCAACTTTGTTGGTGAGTCTAACTGCATGATAACCAGTGCTTTGTTAGAACGTACTACCCGTAATGTACTGTGCATAGCACTTCGACGAAATTTGCATATTTAAGGGTGGCATCCCATATATAGTTTTCAAATGTTGTGTCCACTTGGAAAGATACTAGTATCTGCAACAGGGAAAATTCTCAATTCTCATTGACCGAACATCCAGCAAAAGATGTGAAAAATCTTTGTCTTCCCAAGACCTAACCCACAGACCGAATATCAAAATCCACACATATCTTCTTAGTAAGATATTGCTGGCCAAAGGGTGCAGAAACACAAACAGAAAGATGAGCAGGCAAATTGACAGACAAGTAAATGGACCTTGAGGCCACATGCAAAGTCCCATGAACATCCCTTCTACAAGGTAACACAGAATCTGATGTGTTTTCCTGTAATGCAGGCACCTTTGGTCAGCCTGACCCCTGGGATATCTACAACCCCAGCACATACTCCCATCCCATGGTGCCCTATGATGTCCTGGTGGACCCACTGAGCATGCCCAGCCACCCTGTGATTGACAGGAGGATGTCGGTGGCTGACGTGGTCCACGCTGACTCCATGGAGGGCAGCGAGGCCGGCGATGATGATGATGCTTTGCACACAAGGGTGGGTCCAACTCTTTGGCAGATAGTAGACCACACCGATCTAATTTGCTGTTTCTCAGATTAAAGAGATAATACAAGAGATCATTGTTTTTGCTGTCATCAGATCTTGGTCCATGGAAACTATTGATAGGCATTATGCAAATTGTTGGTAGGCATTAGCAAATTATTTTTAGGTAGATTAGCCGATTGATTTATTACATCTATTTGATTTATAAAAACTAAGGCATCAAAACAGGGTCTGAGGTAAAAGTCTATACTCTGGTACACACAGTTTCTAATACTGAATACAGGAAGACTAACAGGCATACCGGTATTCCAGTTTTCATCCCAGACAGAGTCTTAAATCTCAGCTTCCTGTTCAACTTTTGCCAAATGTTATAAAATGTCAGCAAATCCAGAAAAATAAATTAGTGTGGCCTAAGCATAAATATTGGATACCAAGGTTTACCTTTAAGCATGTATCGTTTTAGCATGATATTATAATTGCATCATAAGTTCGTGACCTTGATATGACCTTGTGATGACAAAAAATGTCTCATTCTTCCCTGCAGCCTCACACAGCCCCAAACTTCTCCACTCTCCACACGGAGTTGTTTGTAGGGGATGATGAGATCGCTGAAGAACTGAAGAGACAACCGTTTGGGAAGGCTATTGGGAAAAGGTAAAGGCAGACCTTACTTTGAGTTGTTTCACAGCATCTGTAGAGGCCAGGTACAGAAAGCCAACTTTCTGTGGTTTGCCAAAGACCTAACTAACATGCAGGCAAAAACCTGACTGTAACAAAACTGCATACATGTACACGAGGGTATGAAAGTTACATGCGTCAAATTTTTCCTACGTCGAAGTCAGCCTGCTTTGACGTACGTCAAGAAATTATGTGTCTATGTATGACCTGAATGACTGATTGTATGTTCTTAAGGAAACCTAGAAGACAAAAGACAGAAGAAATTCCAGACTTGTGCTTTCCACATTCCAGGCGCAATGCCTGTGATGTCAGGTCCAGTCAGGGCCGGTCACCCTGATGACCAGTTTGTGACACAGGGAGGGCTAACTGGGGTCAGGTGTCAATGACCTGATGTCAGTCCAATGGAATCAGAATCGTTAATTAAGAATTGATTCGTTGTCCTACAACAAAAGCTTGGACAATCCGGCAGACGATTACGTGTCAGTTCTTCACGTTTGTTCAATCAATCAAAGTAAATTCTAACGGATCCACGTCCATTTTGGGAAGGCAGAAAGATGAATGTGCCAACACTGCCCATTTCCGGATCATTTCTTCAGTTTTACATTCAGTTTGCAAGTCTTTCAAAATTGCCTTTGAAACATCTTTCAATTGGTCTCTTCTCAGCGCTTGACATGCTTTTTTCTGCATATCAACGTTGAAAATTACCTGCACCAGACAAGTTTTACCTCCAGAAATTAGTATTTACAAAGTATGTATCACACTAAAACTGTTGTGAAACCATTGCCATTATTTCTTTTACACATCATTTGTGGTGACAGTGAATACAGCTAATGAAAATCCACATACATGTACACCTACATTTGTATACATGGACCAGTGCATGTTAGTTGGAGGTGGACATCAGAAATACCTGCAACAACCTGCATTATGGAGGTGAAATTTCAAGACATGTAGATGTTTCATTCCGTTTCCTTTGTTTTCCCCCAGGTTACGTCACGAGAAGATGATGAACGCTCCAAACAAGTTCAAGGACCACGGCGGACCCAACGCCTACCAGAGTCTCCAGTGTTACGACCTGGCAGACACGCCTGAAATCATCCCGCCTAACCCTTCTGCTGAGATAGACGACCCATTTGCAGATATTTTGGACTAGCACAGTGTACAGTTGAGCCTCTAGCAGTCCTTCCACTGGTCAGATTGCCTTAGAAGCTTGATGGCCAACACCTCTAAGTCAGGAGAATTGGGAACATCTTAATCCTTTAATTATGTGTGATTGTGTTAACATGGACCAATCATTGTTAGAGACCAATCATAGAGACCAATCATTGACTGAGAACTGCCTGTTTACTGTTGGAGGCTGTGATGACAGGTTTCCATAGTGACAGAGAGTTCTGAGCTCCAATTTTTAGTTATGGGAATGGTTCTTTTGAGTTAGAGGTGAATGGCCACAAGCTCTTGGGGAGGAGGCCCTACCAGCCACTGACAGCGAGAGATTGTGTTACACATGTGGGAGAAGTGCCACTTCATCGTAAACCTATGAGAAACAGTCCAAACATACCTGCAAATAAGTCTCTATCTCAAGAGAGAGGTGAGGTGGGTTGATTCTGCTAAGGGACCTGCTTGAGACTTGACCTTGAACTCAAGGTTGACCTACAGAAAGCTGGACAGAAGACAAACTCAAGCACACCGCAGAGACAATCGATAAAAACCATACGCCGCGGTGTGTCGGCCGTCAGATAAAGGACTTATTTCCCCCGTGTACGGCGGTGATATTGCACACAAATAATTTTCAGCAGCGTGTGACTGGAAATGAAAGGAGCTGACTGTACATTGTCAATATTTAGTGTGCTATTGTTGCTGCTTGTCACCAATGTGGAACGTTTAATACCGTCATCGGGAGAAATATCTTTATTGATATGCACAAAGTTGAGTAAATTGCATACTTTTGTGATCATTATGTTTCAACTTGTCGGAAATGTTTTGACAGTCTTACTCAAATGTCAGCTGTCCCCAGGCAGCCTGAGGTTTTAATATAAGGGTTTAAGTGAGTACTTTCCCAGACTGACCCGATCCTATGACTTGTACTAAAAATAACCCATTATTGACTGCAAGCATCTCACCAAGCTTAGGATACCCCCAAATGCATAATAGCCTAGTGACCATTCTCTATGGGCCAGCTTTGGAGTGTTTCAGCCATGCAGTTTGCCTTTCTGCTAGCAGTCGATTTTTCCAGACGGCTTTTCTAATTACTGCCATTCATGGTAAGCTAATTGAAACGCTTAGTGGACTGGATTCTTGTAGGCCGGACACTCTTAGAGCTACAGACAAAATTGCCCACAATGGTCTGTTCACCAGGCTACACCAGCCAAATCACTCAAGCACAATAAAAACCCCAGTGGAAAATAGATTCAAATAGTGGATGGGCTCCACACTGTGAAATGTTGGTAAGGAGACTATACTGTTCATTATGGACTGTAATGTCGGACTCATACAGGTGTCGTTTTCTCTGGCTGTAGTTGATGAAAGAAGGCTGTAAAGTTTTTCAAGTGGTCGTGGTAAAGAGTCGTAGCCTTGGAGCCATCCGTTTTTTTTTTTTCACGAGAGCAAGTGCAAGGAGCCCCGTTAAAAAACGGATGGCACCCAAGCTAAAAAAAATTGTGCATTTCAATTGTAATAAAGCACCAATTCTGAACTATGCAGTAGGTATGTAACATTATAAAATGTTCTGTAACAAATATATTGTGTATATATTGAGTCAAATGATATTTTGAATACTCAAACAAGGTGCAGTAACTGACTATATTGTACATGGTGAAAATCTTGTAGTATAGGAAGAGTGTACATTTTTTGTTTTGAGGGTTTGCTGCTTTCTCCGACGATAAAATAAGCCACCTAACTGGAAGTCTAACTTAATGTTCAGAATGCAGTTTATAGCTCCCTATTGCAACAAGGGTCTTGTGGCATAGCTTACACATGTATGAAATTATCTGTCATTGTTTTCTGTTGCATTTCCACTGCATTGGGACATACATGTAAACAGGAAGGCTCTATGACCAGAGTCAACCATGTGTAATATTGAAAATAAAACATTTTATCAATGGTTAATGATTCACAGGCTGTTTTTTCCTTGTCTGTCTTTTGGGTGTCCCGTAAGACGAAAAATGTCCATCAGTACTACATGCAGTACTATGCATGATGTACAAAATCACTAGTAATAAACTGGTGGATGTACCAAGTAATAAGTATCTACAAGTATCACCAGCTCAGAAAAGATTGTCAATGTTGTGAAATGGTCTCAACTTCAAGGGCGAGAATTATCAACCAAGTTGCAGTGTTACACAAAAACATGATTTACTGATGCAGTATCCTACATGTACATGTAGAATGGAACACCCCTGCAACCAAGTACATTGTATAGGTATAGTAGGGGAATCATCACTAGATAGCTTTAAACATGGAGTTAGAATGCTTTAAACAATGCATACAATTAGCAAAGGTTCCATATGTAACAGGTTGTTCAATATTTCCATTGTATATAGCCAGCTGCTGCCACACCGTGTGCCTGCAAAGTTGGTGTGTTATGCCAAATGGCAGTTATACTGGCTATAAAAGTACATAAAGAACAGGTACAGTTGAGAAGTTCAGGTTCAAGCCAGGTAAACTCCCCACAGCCTGTGAGAATTATTTATGACAGGGATCTAGACTTTTATTGGTTCATAACTGAGACACATATCAGCCAGACATCTTGCTTGTGGCCAGGATAAAATGTTTATTAGGACCATCGATCATGTCATGTTTACTCACAGGAAGGTTCCTTCAGGGGACAGAGTGAGATGACTGAGAAAGTCAGGGTCTGCACTGGGCAGCTTTGATGGACTGTAGTGAGACAGTGTTCAGAAAGTGCTAAAAGAAACAAAAAAGGAGCAAAATGGAAGGAAATAGCATAAAATTGAATGAAAATGAAGCAAGAAAAAAAAAAAACAAAAAAACAATTGCTGATAGTGAAAACGTATAAAAAAATATAAAAATTAGGGATAGACTAGTATGCTACACTAGCCCATTGCTGTTTAATATCTAGTGCATATAATGGTACATATATTAACCTTGAAACATTTCAATTCACATTGCATAAAACCTGGCTTTGTTTGCCAAGATGATATGATCAGATATCATGATCAAATCTATATCTTTGGAGCTAAAATTGCCCCAATACAAATGTACCTTCAGTTGATTGACACATCAATGGCTGACAAGAATAGTGGGTCAGATGCCTTAAGTCAAATTTGTAGCCTCCTGTGTAGATTTCTAGTGGGTCATCATTTGTTTCTACGAGCGGCTAGAATGGTGCTAAATTCTTTTCGAGGGAGGCCTCGATTGATGGGAGAGCTGTGTCTGCAGAGAAAGCTGTATCACCTGTACTAGAACTCCCTGTACAGCAAAACTACCTCTACCCCATTAGAGAACCTTAGCCCATGTAAAACAATTGTGTATCAGCACTCCCCCAAAAAACATTCTCCAACAAGAGTTCCACAATCTCATACCTTCGCCAAATGAGGTTAACCCTTGCGGGTGACGAATTATACAATTTTAATCATTGATTTTGTAAATAAGAGCCTCATTTGCATGGACTATGTCAGTTGATCATATTCTTCATCCAATGACAGCCTTATCATAACAAAAAGGCTATTCTAGCACTTCCTCATAAATTATGCAAATGAGGTCATGATTTGAATAAATTATGTTTGTTGATGTTCACCTTCACTTAACTTCCAAATGTGGCAAGTATGAAATTCGGGGTGCAGCAGTTACAACTATGAAATTATAAGAATTTTCCATTAATTATGCAAATTAGGTCCTCATTTACATAATATATATCCTCAGATGTTTTTCTCGTTCTCAAGTAGATGTCACAAGTGTTTCATAGTTCTATTATCGAACAAAGCAGAGTTATAGAATTTCCTCATTAATTATGCAAATTAGCGCCTGATTTGCATAATTGCCATCTGATCATGTCAAGCATCACTTATACTACTTACATACCAAAAATCACGACAATACGTCAACCGGTTCTTGAGTTATCGTCCTTCAAATTTTTGTTCAACAAATGCTCCTGCAGTTCCAGAACAAGGCGCTAGGGGACCCAAACTCACGTCACTTCTTCCCTACCACAAGAGCTATCTACCAACCAAAATTCGTGACCCTAGCATGTCCAGAACATGAGATATCAAAACTGGAAGTTCAGCTGCAGTACCTAGGAAAGCCGCCAGGGGGCCCAAAATCTAATCATTTCTAGGTCTCATGAAGACCTACCCACCTACCAAGTTTCATTCCAATCCATTTACTGCTTCTCGAGTTATCTTGCTAAACCACACACACACAAACACACCCACACACAGACAAACGCTACTGAAAACATAACCTTCTTGGCGAAGGTAAAAAGTCTGTGAAGAAGGCCATCAAAGCTGCACACTCTGAGAAAGTTGTTCTACTGAGTGGCAGCACATTGATCGAGGTGCAGTGGACAGTGTTACTTCGTTAGCATCACACCACTGAGACACCGGATGACCCACATTCAGGCATCTGGGGAGGTGATATCAAGTACAACCTGAATCTCATTTCTTGTGACAGGAATTAGACTGGACGGGAGTAATTACTTTGTGCCTTATTGGAACTGACGCTGAAAAGAAATGACATTTTGATGGCACTATGCGTATCAAAGTGCCTTTGCTTCCCTTGTGTATTACAAACTGCTAGCCTCCTTTAGAAATCTCTTGGAGCAACAGCGGCGTATTTTAGGGGGAGTGCTAAATACAATTTTGCATCAGTTATGCTGTGGGAGGAGTTTTGCCTCTCCTGAGTGAGCGGTTCAATATTTGGAAGATAGGAATTAGTGCCCATCCACTAGAAATAGAAAAAGGCTATCAGTCATGGAGACTGAGACTGTGCAATGGAAAAGGTAATATGCAGTTGAAAATGAAATATGTTTCATTTGTAAATGGTCTCATCATGTGGCTTAGAAAGAAATACATGTAGGCTTATGAGACAGTTACCTAATCCAAAGTTTTTGCTAATGGTAAAAGACCTCCAAAAAATTATTTTCCTGCTAAGATCATAAAACCCTCTTGTCATTAAAACAATTGGACTACATGTACATTTTATTTAGTAGCCACTGCCTCAAAAGATGAAGTCAAATTATTATTATGTCTATAGACTACATGTGAACACTTTTTACCTTGTACGATATTATAACTGTGTCTTTCCTTACAATTTGCCTTTGCAAGACTTTGCAATAAAGTTTGAAATGAAAAGCAATTGAGAGTATCAGGAGAGGCAAAACTCCTCCCACAGCATAACTGATGCAAAATTGTATTTAGCACTCCCCCTAAAATACGCCGCTGTTGCTCCAAGAGATTTCTAAAGGATTTCTGTTTTTAACACTCATTGATGACGCTGCCAACGACTCTCCGTGCCCTGTCTGGAAGTACGTTGACGACATGAACTTACTAGAGACAAGAACTTTAAGTCAACCTTCCATGCTACAACATGCCCTTGACGATCTGAACCTATGGACACAGCGTAACCACATGCTGCTGAATGGAGGAAAATGTCTAACCATGCATGTGACCTTCACCAAAAACCCACCTCCGCCACCCCCTTTGCTAATCAATGAGACGGAGTTAGCTGTTGTCCCGAGTCTGAAAGTGCTTGGTCTTCACATGCAAAATGACCTCCACTGGGACGATCAGGTCAACAGCATGGTAACGAAAACGGGCAGAAAACTCTTCCTCCTTAAACGACTGAAGAAGTTTAACCTACCTGAAGGTGACCTGGTGGCGATATACATCGGGTATGTTAGGCCAATACTGGAATATGCAGTTCCTGTCTGGCATTCAGGTCTAACTAAACGCCAGTCTGATCAACTGGAGCGGTTACAGAAAAGGGCGTGCCGTACAATCATGGGGAAAGACTACTGCGGGTACTCACATGCTCTGCAGCACCTCGGACTGACAACACTTGCCTCTAGGCGTGAACAGCTGACTCTGAAGTTTGCTAGGTCCTTGCTAAGCTCTGAGTTCAGGGACTGGCTCCCACCACCTAGGGCTCAGATCACAGGAAGAGTAACACGCAACAACCACAAACTGAACTGTCCGAAAGCCAGAACGAAGCGGTACTTGAACTCTTGTGTGCCGTACATGACAAGACTTGTAAACCAGCACGGACAGTAACTTGCCTCTTTTTGTAATGTGTGTGTATAATTTGTCCATATTTGTGAACTTTAATGAAGTCCAGCTTTTAATGAATTCCACCTTTTAATGAATTCCTCATTTAAAATGTAAATTGGTTTTAATTCAGTGGCAACACTGCGATTTCCAATAAAGAGATCTTGTATCTTGTATCTTGTATCTTGAGTACAACTTTTCAGCTTATAACTTATTGTTGACTGAGAAACACTGCAAGTCTTTGAATCTAAAATGAAGCTGCAAAAGTCAAAAGGCGTGTGCAGTTTTCTCTGACCAGGGCACCTCCCAGGCCACGATACAGAAGCACAGTGTCTGTGAAACCGATACCTCCGTTACAGTGGGGCAGGTGAAATGGGCTTAAGTAGTGAACAGGGAGGCCGTATGGTGGTATTAAGGAGCCCAGATGCCTCCTTTCTATAGCAATGAACTTCTGATACGCACGGTAAAGTCCACATTAGATCAGGTGGTGTTACAGTCTCTATGGATGGAAGAACTCTGGCAGGGTGCCACAGTATATGGCCAC